CCGAAATTGCATAATTTTTTTTTTGCATAAAAAAAATAATTTCAAAATAAAAAAATCGTAAATTATTTAACTTTTGAGCTACAAAAAAAAAAGAAAAAAATATTTTGAAAAATTTTACAAAAAAAATTTAAATTCATAAAATAACTATGACATAAATTTTTTTTTAGGTTTTAATGTAAATCATTTGGATATAGCACCACGTTATGCAGCAATATTAATGGGTTTCTCAAATGGTATTGGTACATTAGCTGGTTTAACATGTCCATTTGTAACAGAAAAATTAATTGCACGAGGACCACGAGGATGGGAAAAAGTATTTCTACTTGCAAGTCTCATACATTTTACCGGTGTTACATTTTATGCTATTTATGCATCCGGTGAGCTACAGGATTGGGCTGAACCAAAAGATGAGGAAGAACCATGGTTCCATAATAATATCTGTAAAAGTAGTAAGGCTTTTTTTTTTTTTGTCCTTTTCTCATTATCAATAATTACAGTATTAAATATTAAGGAATGGTTAATTATTATATTAAATTCCTATTGGTTAATATTAAATCAAAATTTAAATCCTTCACATGAAATATTATGAAATTTTATAAATTATTCCTCAATTTTTTAATATAAATTGAAATATTATGAAATTTTATAAATTATTTCTCAATTATTCCCTAATTATTAATTCACATATATAAGTTATTTTCAAATTATATAAGATATTTCTCAATACGCATATTAATTTATATTGATTAAATATAATAAAAAAAAAATTATCATATTATCATTATCATCTAAATTGTATCAATATTTCCATAGTTTAATTTTAGATACAAATCCTGGTAACGATTATGGAACTGTAAATCCAGAACAACAACAAAATGATCCAATTCCAGATTTTAATATGATCTGGAATGGTAGCATTATTTTTGCTTCATTTTATGAAAATTCCGTTACATTTTATCATTCAATAAAGCATCAATTATCAAATCTATTCAAATTAATTTTTCGTTGCCAATTTTTTCCTTTTTTTTTTTTTTTTTTCTTGCAGATTCAGCATCGACAATAAATCCAAATGATATGAGCGGTAGCTACAAACCAGCAGGAGATGAATTGAATTACAATCATTCAAAACGATACAATACGAACAATAACTATGATGATGGATGGTGACGAAGAATTTATCAGATCTATTGTTATTTTATTAAAACAACCACGATGACAAATCATTCCTATTCAAAAAATACAATTTACTTTCCAGAAAATTTTGCCGAAAATTGTAAAACGTATGGCATAGGAATAAAATATTAAAATTTTATCACATACTTCTTACGATTGCAATTACTTGTTCAGCTTTTTCTTTTTCTTTTTTTTTAATCAAAATAAATTAACCTTATATTTCAATCACAAACCTTATGCCATCGCTTATTTATCATCCTGAGATGGTAATTATTACACGGTAATAGTATGCACAGATTCATATCCGTATTGGCAGTAATATACCCAGTAAAAATTTGGGTTATGTTACGGGGGGAAAAAAAAAAAAGAGAAATTTGCTCGATATTTACTTTCCCGAATACAAACTTGACATAGGAAAACACTGAAAAAGCAAGAATAGGGGTAAAAAAAAAAAGAAATGCATAATAAGCGTTATTTATTGAATATCACAAAATCTAACTCTGCATTCAGTTTTTTAACTTTAGCATGAGTTACCAATCAATTATTCAAGTAACCAATCAATCATTATCATGCAGCATAGATGCATGACTTTTGCACAACAGGGTACATTACGTGTTCTGGCACGGATACATAATATTGCTGCATTATGGATATACTTTTAACTTTTGCATATCCCAAATTTAAAAAGCAAGAAAAAAAAAAGAAAGGAACATACATTTCTTTGTCTGATAGGTTATGGTAAAAGTATATAACTTTTGCAGCACGGATATATGACGTGTTGCAGTATAGTCTTCTTTTTTTTGTTTTGTTTTTTGTTTTTTAAATTATTTCTTATGAAAGATGGCCGATATGACAAATTTCCCATGCACGGAGGAGAAAAAAAGAATCATTAAGATTAGATTAAATGTCCTATTCGAAATGCTATCATCATCATCATCATCATCATCATCATCATCATCATCATCATCATCATCATTATCATCATCATCAT